CATGATAAGGGCTATCGAGCCGAATGAAAATATGTATATCGTTCCATTCAAAGTTTTCGAGATATTGTTACTTTTCCATTTTTCCATTTGAAGTAGGCTATGAAGTACTTCAAAATTCTTTCAACGACTTAAAATTTTGGCTATTGGTCGATACTACTCAGTAAAATAACTGATAATTATTAGAAATTAATCCGTCCACTATTTTGTCGAATACAAATTTTTTCTTATTTTTCACTTTTTTCAAAAAATCGCTGGTATCCACGCTAACTCAAAAAATAATTGAGATAAAAACTTCAAACTTTGTATGATTATAGCGCCGTTGGTAACGAAGGCTGGTATTGTCGGTGGGCGAAATCGGCCCAGTAGTTCATGAGATATTTAACTTTATAATCGAAAATTCTTCCTTTAATATCTCAAAAACTACTGGACCAAATGCATTCTGCTTGCTCTCAAAATTTTCGTCTGAGTGGTGGCTATCGATGCAAATCAAAATATAGGTACCATTCAATTGAAAGTTTTCGAGATATTTCAATTTTTCTCTTTTTTTGAGATCAGATTCCTATTTTCGACTCTGAAGTGGTTTAGACTTCTATTAACGCTGTCAAATTCATCATTCATATCAGGTTGGTGTCTGGTTATTGAATTATATGATCCTGATCATGAATGTAACGCGTGGTCAAGACAGGCCCTGAACCGGGCACCCGGTTATTCATTCATATGATCAACATCAACTCACTGTTTTGGAACTCCTTCTTGGATATTTTTAATTAAATTTGGATATTGAAGATAAATATGCATGTCGAGGTTATCCATTTTGTTATAGGGTCGGTTTATCAGTTGTTTTATGTTTTGGTGAACTTCAATCCAATGACAATATCATGTTCTTTTTACAGTGTTAAGAAAGAAAGAGAGCAGTGCAATTAGCAGCCTCGTGTTATGCAAATAACTGCATCCCCTCCAACCGCCGATACTTGATAATTAATTTTTACGTAAAAAATTTGAAGGAATGCGAAAATTAATCCAGGAAGGGAGAAACGAGCGGTGCAATGAGAGGAAAATAAAATTTAGCCAAGTATAAAATTAGAGTAAAAGATAAGGCTTCAACTATTCCACGTGAAGTACGGTAACTGTGGTGCTAAATATTTGTACTGGTAGTAGAATATGATAGCTGATACTACTAAACACAACAGGCACGTTAGTTGAATCATATCTTGTTTCTGTTTTTTAGAGATCAGATTTCTATTTTCGACTGTGAAATGGTTTAGACTTCTATTAACGTTGTCAAATTCATCATTCGTATCAGGCTGGTGTCTGGTTATTGAATTATATGGTCCTGATCATGAATGTAACGCGTGGTCGAGACAGGCCCTGAACCGGGCACCCGTGTCCGGATCTTATACGGAGATCCTAGCCCCGACCTGATCTGGGGAACTACATCAGGTCCATGCCGAGTTAACTTATACGGTCCTAATTGAGTCATTCCAAATTGTGGCATTCCAAATTTACAAATTTGAGTCAACTCTGGGTTCGATCCATCACAGAAGTGGAATTGGATTTTGGAATGGAATAACTACGGATCCATTCGGAAGCATACTACCAATGGAATTGGTAGAAATTAAAAACGAGAGAAAGTAGTATCACAAAAAGCGACAGTAAAAAAGCTTCGGTAGAATAGGCTTCTACCTCTGCTTGTTTTTACAAACGATTTCGAAAATTTTTGAAAATTCGGGCGAAAAGGTCGTATAAACACTTATCCAGGGAATATGAAATCTCCACGTTTCAGGTGATTCTGAGTCATCTGAGCCGATGTTTTTGAAACCAAATTTTTTTTTTTACAAGCAATTTGGAAAATTTTTAAAAATTCGGGCGAAAAGGTCGTATAAACACTTACCCAGGAGAAATATGAAATCTCCACGTTTCAGGTGATTCTGAGTCATCTGAACCGATGTTTTGGAAACCAAATTTTTTATTTTTTTTTACAAGCAATTTGGTAAATTTTTGAAGTCGGGCCAAAAGGTCGTATAAACACTTACCCAGGGAATATGAAATCTTCACGTTTCAGGTGATTCTGAGTCATCTGAGCCCAATTGTACAAGACAAATTTTTTTATTTTTTTACTGGGAATTTTTGCTCATGAAAATGTATATACGATTTTTCGGCTCAAAATTTATAGAGAATCACTCAATCTATTTCGAAATGACAAAAAAATTGGTCTCAAAAAATTATGTTGAGATGATTGAGAATCATCTGAAAATTCGAGATTCACTATTCTCCGAAATCCTGTTTATACGATTCAAATTTATTTGGTTCAAATTTCCTCGGTGAAACTGAAAACAAAGGTCTCGTAAAGTTATGTTCAGATTATTCCTATTTCCCGAAAAAAGGTTGATGACTTTTTGGTTCGAATTTCCTGAAAAAAAAGAAAGTTGTCTCTACGTCCTTTTTTCTAGGCGAAATTGACTAAAAAAATGTCTCGTAAAGTAATATTCAGATGATTCAGAATTATCTGAACCGCCGAGACTTCCTATTCCCCGGATAGGATTTATACGATTTTCTGGTTCAAATTTCCCCACGGATTCAAAAAAATGTTGATACGGCCGTTTGGCCGAAGGCACGTGATTTATAAATCAATAGTAGATTAAATGCAGAAAGCAGAAACTAAATGGTGCTTCTATTTTGAGTATAGAACGATTCCCCAATGG